CTGACAAAGGAACATTGATGTTGAAACAAAAAGCATTAAAATGATAATAATTTTGTCAGTGTTCCTCAAGATTATCTTCACCAAACCATATGTTGTATTCATCTGCTTAGCATTTGAAGTACATCAGAATGTATCTCATAGTTCTGTGTTAAAAAGAAAAAATAAGCTGAATATGGTGGTACATACCTGTAGTTCCAGCTACTTGGGAGGCTGAGGACTGGATTGCTTAAGCCCAGGAATTGAAGGTTGCAGTGAGCTATGATTATGCCACTGCACTCCAGCCTGGGTGACAGAGCAAGACTCAGTCTCAAATATATGTATATGTACACACACACATATGTATACACATATACTTATATAGACATATTTATACAAACATACATATGTTTATATTTATATAAGATTATATATAAGTTCGCTTTTCTTTTTTCTTCTTCTTCTTCTTTTTTTTTTTGAGTTGGACTCTCTCTCTCTGTTGCCCAGTCTGGAGTGTAGTGGTGTGATATTGGCTCACTGCAACCTCTGCCTACTGGGTTCAAGCAATTCTCCTGGCTCAGCCTCCTGAGCAGCTGGGATTACAGGTGTCTGCCACCATGCCCAGCTAATTTTTGCATTTTTAGTGGAGATGAGGTTTCACCATGTTGGCCAGGCTGGTCTCAAACTCCTGACCTCAGGTGATCCGCCAGCCTCAGCCTCCCAGTGTTGGGATTACAGGTGTGAGCTACCGCCCTGCCTGATTTAGTCTTTCATTCATTGTCACTGATTGGCAATGTGCTATTTGCAGTGAATTGCTCACAAATACTAACTTGATACTTTTTCTCATATCCCTATTTGGTTAGTAATAAAACCAAATCGGACGTAATAACTACAAACCTTAAATCATATATTTTGGTTCATTTTTGTTTGGATATAACACATAGTTAAATGTAATTCTAAATTTTAGTATACTTTGACTTCCTAAAATATACAAAATCCTGAACATAATACAATGCAACTGTAACCTCTGTCCAAAAAATGTTTCATTTCATTCTTTAAAAACTGTCTTTTTCACTTGCTTCATGTAGTTCCTCTGTGATGCTAACACGTTCAGTTTAATCTTAATGAAGTAAAATGGTACTTCTTAAATGGAAAAAGTACAAATTTACTTAACTGTATTATGAATATTGTAAAGATTATATTAAATTTTGTATTACAATCTTTAAAAACAACTTTATACCATGATAAAATGAAATTTTTTTGACTAAGAGCTTTCATGAAATTGTTATGAAAGGGGCTTTAAACACAGAATGATGGGAAATACTGATATAGTCCACTTTGTTTTATAGATGAGTTAACCAAGACCCTGAAAGGGAAATGGATGGCTCAGTTGTTAAAATTAAGCCTAGGCTTCCTGACCAGATAGCAAAGCTTCATCTTACATAACTCTAGGGGGCGCTGTTCGTATTGTTGCGACGCCATTTTCATGGACTAATGATATCGGTGGCCTCCAGAGGTGTTCAGTTCAATGGCCTTGGGTTTTAGTCAGTGCTTAATCAGTGACAGTCCCTGTTGTTAAATCTTGCTTATTTTCCTGAAGTTTCCAATATATTATTTGCAAGACCTCTAAGTTTTCAATTTCTTTTTTCCAAATTGAGGCCCACATGAGAAAAGGCAATAAAGAAGCGTTAGTTCACTTAACAGTAAGATCCTATTTTTCTTTTTAAATCAGGCCTTATGCGGGGGGCTACAAATCAGAGTTGAACCGTCATGGTCTCTGCCCTCAAGAAGTTTGAAGTCGGTCAAGAAGCAATATATCAAGAAAATAATAAGGGTGCACTATTGGGGACCTGCCATAGACTGCAGTGCTGGTGCAAAGGAAGAAGCGATCCCTTCTGTCCAGGGATGGCTGAAAGGAGAAAAGCCTCACAGAGAAGGTCACACTGTTTGCCATGGGAGATTTAGTAAAAGAAAAGCAGAAGCTACTTGTAAATACAATCGGCCTAGATTAAAATTGTCTTACAGCCCATCCCCTTCAGTGCTAGATAGGATGCATTATAAACTCAAAGCAAGGTCTCATTTGTATCTGATAGGTAACCAGGATTAACTAGAGAGTATTCAGGGCAAGCCTCACTCTAGCCTCTTTGGCTAGAGTGGTAGGCAGGAAGCCTCTAATTTCCTCTGTGAAGTTCTTACAATGCCTTCCGACTAATGATGAGATGTGAAACTGAGGATTTACTCTCAGTGACAAGAGCGTGACCCACATTAAATCCAGTCACTTTGACTGGGTCTCTGATAGGCCTGAAACTTTTAGCATCTTTCTGGGTTCCTCTCTTGTCCCACGTACTGTTACAAAGTCCTGTGGATTCCACCTTGTAAATATTTCTCAAAGGTATCACCTCGTCTCCATAGCCATGGTTGCTGACTAATGCAGATCCTGTTATTCTTCATCTGTTCTCTTGGTCCTCCTGGCCCAAGCCTCATTTCCCTTTAATTCCTGTAAGTCAATGGTAGGCAGGGATGTGTCTGGCTCATATTTCTGTCTGTAACATTTGGCTAGATATCACACACATAATATGTACCCAATAAATGTTGAGGAGCAGGTATGAATAATAAATATTGTATTTAGGCTTTGGGTTCACAATCCTTGACAGATGACAAAGGAAGTCATGCTCTAGTGAACAGCAGATACGCCTCTTGTCAAAGAGGCATTAATTACAGTCCAGCACCTTGTAGTCTCATTGCTCTACCTACCAGCTTTTTTTTCAGCTATCACATTACGTTAGTTATATGATGTAAGTGAGGAAAAAACGTTTAAAAACAATTTTTTTTTTGGCCAGGTGCAGTGGCTCATGCCTGTAATCCCAGCACTTTGGGAGGCCGAGGCAGGCGGATTACGAGGCAGGCGGATTACGAGGTCAGGAAGTTGAGACCATCCTGGCCAACATGGAGAAAACCCATCTCTACTAAAAATACAAAAATTAGCCTGGTGTGGTGGTGCACGCCTGTAGTCCCAGCTACTCAGGAGGCTGAGGCAGGAGAATTGCTTGAACCCAAGAGGTGGAGGTTGCAGTGAGCCGAGGTCACGCCACTGAACTCCAGCCTGGCGAAAGAGCAAGACTCCATCTTAAAAAAGCAAACAAACAATTTTTTTTGTAAATAAACTGAAATTTGTATGTAAATAATATAAAGTTTTTTTTTTTGTAAAGACTGCAATTAGTTTGTTATGACAGATTGAATATTGAGCAAAGAAAGATGCTGCCCTAAAGCGGTGAAAGTGATCTGGGAATCTGCAACTAGATCTCACATGAGTAACATTCCCAGCACGTACTGTGTCTGCAGCTAACATAGCAACACGGTGATACGGTAGATATCAGGGACACATCAGTGTGGCTTAGGACAGGTAGACAGCCAGCCATTCCATTCTTTAAAAACTTTTTCACTTGCTTCATGTAGTTCCTCCTTGATGATAATTAACTCAAATGGAATGACATTTCATTTCAAAACCACAGGCTAGAGCAGATCTGGAAAGGTCCTTGGAGGTTGGCCGGGGTCTGAGAGGTAAGGAAACTCAAGTTCCCGACGGCTGATTTGTGCGGCAGTGAGCTGCCAGCTTGTCCACACAGTCCCTTCTGGTTTCTCTGGCCAGTCTCGAAGGGGAAGTGTCATTGTGTCATTCCTCACCCCACACCCCTCCATTGTTTTGTCCTAATTACTTCCTCTGTTTCTCTCTCTTCTTTCCTGTGGGAAATCTCAGGCATCCAGCAATAGCCCTCGAGTCTTCTCTTTTTGAATTAGTAAATTTAAAGTATCAAACCTACATTGTGACATTCTAAATGGTATTGTACTCCCATGTTAGCGCCACTGTAATCATTCAGATATACTTATCAATCCACATGCAGTTTTCTTTGCTATAGAAAATTAGATCTTCTGCTTTTTACTCAAGTTTCTGCTCTTTTATAAAACAAATACTTTTTATTTGTTTCAAATATATTTTTTATTCATTTTAAATAAGTTATATTTAATATCTTTTCAGAAATATTTATGGCTGGGCATGGTGGCTCATGTTTATAATCGCTGCACTTTGGGAGGCCGAGGCAGGTGGATCACCTGAGGTCAGGAATTCGAGACCAGTCTGGCCAACATGGTAGAACCCCGTCTCTACTAAAAATACAAAAATTAGCGGGGTGTGATGGTAGGCACCTGTAATCCCAGCTACTTGGGAGGCTTAGGCAGAATGGCTTGAACCCAGGAGCCGAGATTGTGCCATTGCACTCCAGCCTGAGTGACAGAGTGAGACTGTCTCAAAAAAAAATATAATAATAATAACACTTTAGATTAAGATTGGGAAGCAAGAAAAAAAACAATTAGAATATTTTATATTAAAAGATTACATTGATTGCATGTCAAGACGAAAATATGTTGAGCCTATGATAATTTATAAAGTAAAAAATATACAGAGTGGTTCTCAGGATCCTGACCCCTCCCACCTACCACTCCCTCTTTGATGAAATATCAAACTGACTTTAATACATTACAATAAACACTTCAGTCTCATTTCCTCCCTCAGTAAGTTGCTATCACCCTTGGTGTGGTCCCTCTGATTAAATGAAATGCAAATATCCTGGAAAAATAGGCTTCATTTCTAAAATATGAATGTTAGCATTTCCAAAATATGAATGATATTTTGTTGGTGAGCAGCATGAAAAAGATTTTCCAAGAGAAGTGTGATGATACAGGGTCGGTAGATGTGACTGCTGATATACCACCTAAAGGAGGTGACACAGTCCAGGGGCCGGGAGCCTGCACCCCAGACTTTGCAAGACCTGAGACTGAACCCTTTTTTTTTAAATTGTACTTTAGGTTGTGGGGTCCAGGTACAGATCATGCACAATTGTTGCATAGATACGTATACGGCAATGTGGTTTGCTGCCTCCATCCCTCCATCACCTATATCTGGCATTTCTCCCCATGTTATGCCTCCCCTCCTCCCCCCATGCTGTCCCTCCCCTATCCCCCACAACAAACCCCAGTGTGTGATGCTCCCCTCCCTGTGTTCATGTGTTCTCATTGTTCAACACCTGCCTATGAGTGAGAACATTCGGTGTTTGATTTTCTGTTCTTATGTCAGTTTGCTGAGGATGATGGTTTCCAAATTCATCCATGTCCCTACAAAGGACATGAACTCATTGTTTTTTATGGCCATGTAGTATTCCATGGTGTATATGTGCCACATTTTCTCCATGGCTGTCTCAGTGCCCTCATCTGTGACATGGGCACAGTGAACCTTTAAGTGATGTGAGGAACAGTAACTGCCCAATCACTGCCACCTGCAATTCTTCTAGTGCCCCGTTTTATGTCACTGTCAATATGTTAGAGAAACAGAGGTAGTAATGCCCTACATTGTGATTATTTTTCCAGGTTCTGATTTCTCTACTGACCATCGTGAGGAGACTTCCTGACACAATTTACAAAGAAGAAATACAATGAGTCATTATTGTTCTGTGGTCCTGCACGAGTTCGAATTAGATCTATACAAGGGGGGTTACTTTCAAGAGCATCGGAAATATCTTAACTATAGCCTAACCCGAGGCCCCAGACTTTTAGGGTGAGAGTCATAGATGAATCTGTTTCAAAGCACATTCATGTTGCTAATGATGCAGTGTAAGACCCGTGGAAGATTTGGGGCCAGCACGTTTGCTGCCCATTTGTCTTCTGCTGGGTGGGAGAGGGTCCTCCACTGGCAAATATTTGCCTCCCTATGTTTAGGGATTGCAGTTCAAGGTTTAACTGAGTCTCTTATGTGAAGCAGATATTTCTCAATTCATTGAAAAAAGTAAAACCACTGTATCACATGACAAGAAGGAAATATTTTCTTTCCCCCTTTCATTAAAGAGGACACAAAACACAACACCGAATAATGAAAGGAAAACAAACAGGGCCATTCCATTCCTTGGAGGAGGGGCTGAGTAGCTGCAGGGACAGCTGCAGTGCGTCTGGCCTCCCGATTCTTTCCTTTCCCATCACTTTATTACTTATTGGACCAAGAATGTAGACAATTCCGGCTATGGTTGTTTCGCGTTTTTGTTCCTCGACTTAGACTCTGTGTTATGCTCGCTGGCCCCCTATGCTGGGTCTTGGAGCCGACAGAGCCACTTCAACATTCTGCAACAAGCTTTCTAAGCAGGTGGCTGTTATCCTTTCTCAGCACCACCCCTTCCCGTGAGGCCCTGGACGGCGGAGAGGACTCACACGCCCCTTTGTGTCTATCAAAGTCATCAAACCTTTCATGCCTCTTTCAAGCATTTCTCACTGTGGTGGTGGTTGGGTACCAATTGACAGGACATTCACACACCTTCACTGTGTGAACTTTAACAAGATGACCTGGATTCTACCAAAACAAGGCAACACAGAGAGGAGAGAAATAATGGATGTGGTGGTTCCTCAGGGGGTGCTTGATTCATTTCTGAAAACGTATTTTTGAACGTATAGAAAAAAACTCCTAGAAGTGAATATTCTTCGTTATAATATTGATTGTTACATATGGATCAGTTGACTTTATTCAGTTCATGAGTGTACAAATACAAAACTACCACTTCTCCGAATGTTTTTGCAAACCATTGCTTTCGCTTACAAACTTTCATGACTCTTAAATTTTCTGATATGCACAGAATTTACATTAAAAATGTTAATTTTCAGGGTGACACTTAAAAGTGCAGCTTTTTAAAGCATTGTCAGTGTTTTGCTTAAATAAGAAAAAAGTGTGAATCAGTAGTAGCATATTTTATATTATATATGTATATTTTAAGATGAAGTCTCGCACTGTTGCCCAGCCTGGAGTGCAATGGTGCATTCTGGGCTCATTGCAACCTCTGCCTTCTGGGTTCATGCAATTCTCCTGCCTCAGCCTCCCAAGTAGCTGGGATTACAGGTGCACACCACCACACCCCGCTGATTTTTTGTATTTTTAGTAGAGACGGGGTTTCACTATGTTGGCCAGACTGGTCTCAAACTCCTGACCTCATGATCCGCCCACCTCAGCCTCCCAAAGTGCTGCGATTACAAGTGTGAGCCACGGCGTTTAGCCCTATATTATAATTTTTAATAATTTTTAAACATTTTTAAACTTTCTTTTTCTTACCTGGTTGCTGAGTACCAATATAATTTTTAATGAAATGTTTAAAATATTGTTTATCACTTTCTGCATGTGGGGACCCTAATGACATCACTGTATGGGGGTAAATGAAATATAGACTCACTATGTAGAATTCTGTATTTGGACAAATTATCTGCTTTTCCTTTTAAGAGAATTGTGCATTTTCTAAAATTTTTAGTGAACAATACACATTTCACTGCTGGAAATTTTGCCAAACATAGCAGAGACTTCTACATGGTGGCAAAGGTTTGCTCAGGCTGTGTGTGTGTGCCTCATGGGCTTGGGGCAATGGTATATTTATTAATACAGAACATTATGTCCCGTTATGTCAGCCACTTATCCTCTCTAATGAAACACAATCTGCCACCATTATGAATTACGGGGTGTCAAGTCATCCCAAAACACTCACCAAGGAAATGATGCTTATTAAATTTATCTAAAACTCTCACTTAAATTAGTGTTGCATTTTATGCAGATGGGGAGGCTGTCAAAAAGTGACACTAAGAGAATCTTGTGCTAGGAAGAGAATCTTTTACAAAATACAGTGTGATTCTTAACCTCCAGTGGCCATTAGATTTCTTGGAGTATGTGTTAAAAATGCACATTCTGTGCCTCTAACTCCAGAGTTGCGGACATAATAGGGCTCAGATGGCAGGCAGAAATCTGGCCTCACAAGAACCCTGTGTGATTTTGACAGCATTAGTCTACTCTAAGAAATGCGTTATAGTTGTGTTGGCCCTGTACCCGGCTGAGAAGGCACACACCAAGAAGTTGTGTCCTGAGCAAGATGGGAAATGCTAACCGCCAAAGCCGGAGAACCTTACTTTTGAACCCAACCGATCTGTTTTCAATTCATTTCTCTCTCCCCAGGCACTTCAGGTGGCCTCACTGTTGAATCTTCATGGAGGAGACTTACCAAGCTCTGCACATATTTTTTCCCTTTCTCCCTGCCCTCCATCCCACATTAAGCCTCTGTGTTATGCCTTAGGTGACAGCCAGATGTCTGATGCCTGGCCCATGTTAAGGGGTCGTGACTGTCAGCCCTTCAGTGCGTGGTGCTCCTAGGCATGCATTCCTTTGAAAAAAAAAAAAAAAAAAGGTTGTGGGGGGCTCCAGAAAGTGTGGATGTTTGTCACAAGGAAGAAATCTCAAATACTAAACTTCCAGATGCCCTGGCAGTATAGTGGGGGAGGTGATTTGGGTTTGCTTCCCTCAACTCTTGGCAGGCCTCCTTGTAAAATCAACTCTGTTCCTAAGAACGCACAGGATTTCCTTTGCAGACTTGTGTAGAAGTTGAAGAGGACAGAACTGACCACAAAAGGCATCAAGAGTGCCAAATTCTTGTATTGCAGCTTTGCTGGTTGGGGTGGATGGAATCAACCTGAAAAAACAAATTGGCTAACACTATCCAAATTCATTTGACCCTAATATGATACTAATCTAAATCATAAAGCCAGCATGAGAGTTTGCAGTGGGAAGTATCTCTTTCCAAAGGGAAGCTGTTCAACCCATGAAGGATCAGCATCAGCATAAGCTGGTAAGAGTTTAGAATCAGGTCACTTCTGCTCTTCTCCCCGAGGCCCTACTCCAACCTTCCTGGAGGCCGGAGCCATGCGCTTAAACAAACAGGCAGAGGGGGAAAGGTTGTGAGGCCAGTAATGAGGAGGGCCACGATGAAGCTGGCTCGATTGGGAGAAATGGTTCTGGTTTTGAATCTAGCTCTCTTACTCTAGCTGTGTGTCCTTGGGCAAGATACATAAACTCTTTAGCCTCAGAATCTGTCTGTAAAGTAGGGAAGTACACTGACACATAGTAACCCTCTATTAGTACCGTATCATTAGTGGGATGATTAGCTTTTCTGGAAAAAGTTAGAAAGCTAAACTTGATGTTAGGATATATCAGCCTCTTTGTTGGGGTAGGAATGGAAATACTGGGAGAATTTCTTCTATGTATTTTCAAGTCACAGCACATCTGAATCATGAGATAGAAGCCAAGTTAAGGTGTCTGTATTAAACTATTAAAATATTAAGGATATTATTACATCAATTTCTTTTTTTTTCTTTCTTTTCAGATTGCTCCTCTCTGCAGTGACTGCAGGGCAGAGCAGTTTCCATGGCCCGGGATATATGTATATTGACAATCATTCAGATCTTTTCTTGTTTGTTTGTGACGGAGCCTTGCTCTGTCACCAGGCGGAGTGCAGTGGTGTGATCTCGGCTCACTGCAACCTCTGACTCCTGGGTTCAAACGACTCTCCTGCCTCAGCCTCCCGAGTAGCATGCTACCATGCCCAGCTAATTTTTGTATTTTTAGTAGAGATGAGGTTTCACCATGTTGACCAGGATAGTTTTGATCTCCTGACCTTGTGATCCACCTGCCTCGGCCTCCCAAAGTGTGGGGATTACAGATAGTGCTTGGCGTCTTTTTTTTTTTTTTTTTGAGAGAAAAAAAGAAAACAAAAGGAATGAAGAAGAGGAAAAAAGAGGAAGAGGAGGAGGGAGAGAGAACAGGAATGTTGCTTAATTGCCCAGGCTAAGATGCAGTCTAAAAATGCGCATTGAAAACCTCCCTTATACCATCAATCGTGCTTAATAATAGTCAACCAATATTTCATTTAAACCTGTGAGTAGGTGTGATGTGGTACTGATAAGAGTGCATATCTACAACTCAAGCAGATTTACAGGAAAAAAACAAACAAGCCCATTCAAAAGTGGGCAAAGGATATGAACAGATACTTTACGAAAGAAGACATATATGAGGCCAACAATCATATGAAAAAATGCTCATCGTCACTGGTCATCAGAGAGATGCAAATCAAAACCACATTGAGATACCATCTCACGCCAGTTAGAATGGCGATCATTAAAAAATCTGGAGACAACAGATGCTGGAGAGGATGTGGAGAAAAAGGAACACTTTTACACTGTTGGTGGGAGTGTAAATTAGTTCAACCATTGTGGAAGACAGTGTGGCGATTCCTCAAGGCCTTAGAAATAGAAATTCCATTTGACCCAGCAATCCCATTACTGGGTATATATCCAAAAGACTATAAATCGTTCTACTATAAGGACACATGTACACGAATGTTCATTGCAGCACTGTTTACAATAGCAAAGACCTGGAATCAACCCAAATGCCCATTGATAATAGACTGGATTGGAAAAATGTGGCACATATACACCATGGAATATTATGCAGCAATCAGAAATGATGAGTTCGTGTCGTTTGTAGGGACATGGATGAATCTGGAAAACATCATCCTCAGTAAACTGACACAAGAACAGAAAATGAAACACCGCATATTCTCACTCATAGGTGGGTGATGAAAAATGAGAACACATGGACACAGGGAGGGGAGTACTAAACACTGGGGTCTATTGGGGGGAAAAGGGGAGGGTCAGTGGGAGGGGGAAGTGGGGAGGGATAGCCTGGGGAGAAATGCCAAATGTGGGTGAAGGGGAGAAGAAAAGCAAAGCACACTGCCATGTGTGTACCTACGCAACTGTCTTGCATGCTCTGCTCATGTACCCCAAAACCTATAATCCAATAAAAAATTAAAAAAAAAAAAAAAAAAAAAAAAAAGAGTGCATATCTTGTGTGTTTAAAGTGGAGAGTTCTATAAATGTTTATTAAGTTTACTTGTTCCGGATCTGAGTTCAAGTCCTGGATATCCTTGTTAATTTTCTGTCTCATTGATCTATCTAATATTGATGTTGAAATCTCCCACTACTACTGTGTGGGAGTCCAAGTCTCTTTACAAGTCTTATGTAACCTGTATCGGGTGCGTACATATCCAGGATTGTCAGCTCTTCTTGTGGCATTGATCCTTTTACCATTATGTCCTCTTTTGATCTTTGTTGCTTTAAAATCCATTCCACCAGAGGTGAGAATTGCAACCTCTTCTTTTTATTTATTTATTTATTTTTGCTCTCCATTTGGTTGACAAATCTTTCTCCATCCCTTTGTTTTGACTCTTTATGTATCCTTGCATGTAAGATGGGTCTGGATGCAGCATACCGATGGGTTTTGGCTGTATCTTTTGATTGGGGGATTTAGTCAATTTAAATTTAAGATTATTGCCATTTGATGTTAGCTGGCTATTTTGCCCATTAGTTGATATAAATTCTTCATTATGTTGATACTCTTCACTTTTTGGTATATTTTCAGAAAGGCTAATACTGGTTGTTCCTTTCTATGTGGGAGGCTTCTTTCAGAAGCTAATAAAGCAGGCCTGGTGGTAATGAAATCTCTGAGTACTTGCTTATTCACAAAAGATTTTATTTTTCCTTCGATTGTAAAGCTTAGTTTGGCTGGATATGAAATTCTCGGCTGAAAGTTCTTTTCTTTAAGGATGTTGAATATTGGTTCCCACTCTCTTTTGGCTTGTAGGGTTTCTGCTGAGAGATCTGCTGTAAGTCTGATAGGCTTCCCTTTGTGGGTAACCTGACCTTTCTCTCTGGCTGCCCTTAGTATTTTCTCCTTCATTTCAACCCTGGTGAATCTGATGATTATGTGCCTTGGGTTGCTCTTCTTGAGGAATATCTATGTGGTGTTCTCTGTATTGCCTGGAGTTGACTATTGTCCCGCCTTGCTATGTTGGGAAAGTTTTCCTGAATAATATAATGAAGAGTATTTTCCAGCTTGGATTCATTCTCTTTGTTGCATTCAGGTACACCTATCAAACGTAGATTAGGTCTTTTCACATAGTCCCATATTTCTTGGAGACTTTGCTCATTCCTTTTTATCCTTTTTACGCTATTCTTGTCTTCTCGTTTTATTTCATTAAGTCGGTCTTCAACCTCTGATATCCTTTCTTCTGCTTGATCAATTCGGCTGTTAAAACTTGTGCATACTTTGCAAAGTTCTCGTGTTGTATTTTTCAACTCTGTTAAGTCACTAATATTCCTCTCTATATTATCTATTCTTGTTAGCATTTCATCAAATCTTTTTTCAAAGTTCTTAGCTTCTTTGCATTGTGTTAGAACAAGTTCCTTCAACTCCCAGAAGTTTCTTATCATCCACCTTCTGAAGCCTTCCTCTGTTAATGGAACACAGTCTTTCTCCATCAGGCCTTGTTCTGTTGCTGATGAGGAACTGTAATCCCCTGTAGAGGGAGAGGCGTTCTGATTTTGGGTATTCTTAGCCTTTTTAGGCTGGTTTCTTCCCTTCGTTATAAATTTATCCATCTGTCGTGTTTGTAATTACTGCCTTTCTAATTAGGTTTCTGAGTGGACGTCCAATTTATTGATTGTTGGCGCTGGAATCTGAGCAACCCACTGCGCCGGCTAAAACAGCGGTGTTAAGATTGATGGTGCTTTTCTGCACCAAAAACCGCCATGCAAAGGGCTGGCAAAACAGCTGTGCTGGCCACAAGAGTCGTGGTGGTGACCCGTGGGGCTCCTCCGCGGGAAATCTCCTGGTCCGTGAGCAACAAAAATTTGTTTAAAAGTGTGGCATCCTCTTGTTTTCTGCACTTTCACTGGGAGCCACAATCCTGAGCTGCTAATGATCAGCCATCTTGGATCTCTCCTATTACATCAATTTCTGCAAAAAGTTCTTAGTCTTTGTCTCTATTAGTACTTTTTATTGTGTAAAATTTAAATAAAGCAATTGTCAAATTCAATCCTACATTGTAAACTGCAAAACTGCATTGCAAAGCATCAGGCAAATGTTTAGGGTTAAAATTCAAGGTTTGACCTGGTGAGGTGGCTCATGCCTGCAACCATAACATTCCGGGAGGCTGTAGAGGACAGGTGACTTCAGAAGTTCAAGACTAGCCTGAGCAACATGATGAAACCCTGTCTCTACAAAAGATAAGAAAATTAGTTGGACATGGTGGCTCACACCTATGGTCTCAGCTACTCAGGAGGCTGAGGTGGGAGGATCACCTGAGCACAAAAGGCAGAGGTTGTCGTGAGCCAGGATCACGCCATTGCATTCCATCCAGCCTGGGTGACAGAGTAAGACCCAGACTAAAAACAAAAAAAAAGGAAAAAATAAAATAAAATTCAAAGTTGATTTATCTTAGCATATGTTTTCCCAGGGGAAACATACTATATTCTCATGACCTCTTAA